AGCCACGCCACTCCCTCTGAGCCGCCGCCCATCAGCAACCCCTCGTCGAACTCCGACGCCCTCAGCCACTTTGACTATTACCGCTACATGCCAGCAGCCGCCGTCGTCGAGCCGCTACCGTGCTATCGCCGGACAACTACGCTCCCTAGTCGAATCTGATCTCGCACGTTGACGTCGACACGTTTGACGAGTACACCGAGGCAAGATCTCGCGTTTACCTTGTTTTTAATTAATGGTTAATATCGTGTTATTATGATGATTATATATAGATAAATTATTTTGTGGTAATATTATTGTTAGTATGATGATTACATATAGTTAAATTATTATTATGGTTAATACGTATTTTTGAATATCTGTGTAGAATGATGATTATGAGCGCACCATGAAAATTAGATTAATAATGTTGTTAATTGTATTTTTAAGAATTACGGACATGAAATGACAAGTTATGTGTTAAAATTAGAATTTACAAAATTTTATTGAAAAAAAATTAATTAAGGGAAATCTATAAAATAGAAAAAATATTACTTTTCATGCGGAAAGGAATTAATATATTATATTATATAAATATTTTTTATTTTAAATTAGTTATAACGAGAAATAGTTTTAAAGAATAATTTTTGGAAAAAGAATATTATTATTTATGATAGTATGACTGGTCGTCGTAGAGCGCAACATTTCATGTGTAAAACAGCATCAGTTTCTAGTTTTCTTTTTACCGTATTATTATATTAGAGAAAAAGTAGTACGGATAATTTGTATGAGAAGTTCGGACATCCCAGCGGTAAGATAATAATTAAGCCCACTCATGTATTACAATCATACTATAGTATTTTGTTTATGCATTTCATGTTCATTATAGTTCTCATTTCTGCTTCCTAAACCTGCGTAATCATGTTTAACATGCCTTACTATATTCATGATCTGTTGACGTGTTAAGAACCATAGTAGTTCATGATTTAGTAGTCTTGTGCGTCATGAACAGACTTAGTGATATGTTTGAGTGTGTTGACTGGTTAGGCAGTGAACCCGAGTTTTCAATGAGATTATGGTTAACTTAGAAAAACCGAGAAGAGTTGGGATGGGGAAGTTAGTGTTCATGTGATCGGATAAGACTGTTGATGTATCTTCCAGGCTCGCGCCAGTGAATTCGTGTAGTCACTGGGGTTGGTTTGTTGGGCTAAAGTGAATTCGTGTAGTCACTTTAGTCAGTGAATTTGTGTAGTCACCCGAGTTCTGCTTGAGTTCGGACCAGGCCGAAATCGGATTGCGTGTAGTCCTCTGACCGATTCGTGTAGCGGTATTGGATGCGCGTAGGGGATTTGTGAACAGCCAGTTATCCGATGACAGGAGCGTTGACTCTGTGTGAGATGTGACCAGTGACCTGTTATAGAATGACTAGTTAGATGACCTCGTTACCTGGCTAGGTATGGATTATTGTGAGATGTAGGACAGTTGTGCTTCTTTTCATACATAGATCGGGGTTAATAATTAATTATCTACATTTGAGACATATGGTATATACATGAGGGTTTCCTTGTTTGGATTATTTCGCTCGACGTACTAAGTCTCGAGTTGTAGATTTTTAAATATTAATTCCATCTAGTTGTATGACATTGTTATGTGGATGATTATAGGATGGCTAGCTGTATGATCTTGTTACTCGGATGTTTATGTTTTTCCTGATTGTTATACTCTAGTGATGGATTGTATCTAGCTTGTTAGTATTTCAGTTGCATACTTCTATTGTTACTACTATCATCACATGTTTCTATTTATGTTATCGCTTTGGTCACTCTTCTATTATTATTACTACTCGTAGCCCAAAGTGGATCCAAAACAACTTTTGGTAATGATTCAGGTATTAGTCACCAATCAGTAGCACCTGGTTGGGCAGCTGCATAGGGAGCCTCAGCACCAGCCTCCCCCTCGTGCAGAGTCTGGAGTTAGAGAGTTTTGATATATGTGGCCTCCTTCCTTTTCTGGTGCTGAGGGACCTTTAGTAGCAGAGGAGTTCTTCAAGGTCACTGAGACTATTCTCACGGTGACCCGCATTGCACATGCTGAGTGGGTAGACCTCATGAATATTCAGCTTACTGATACCGCTCGGATATGGTGGGCAGCTGAGAAGACTCATCTAGAGAGGCCCATTCCATGGGAGACGTTCACCGAGCACTTCAACAGGAAATATTTTCCTCAGTCAGCTCGGGATGAACTCCTACGTAGATTTGTTGAGCTTAAGCAAGGAGGGCGAATAGTTGATGAGTACGAGGCCGAATTTTCTTCTTTGAGTCAATATGCTCCCCACTTGGTTACAGACCCTACGATTAGGAGGCATCAGTTTCAGAAGGGTTTGAACAAGTACATTAGGATGGCTCTGGCAGGTAGAGCTTTGGCGACCCATGATGCGGTACTAAATGCAGTACGTGAGATTGAGGGCGTGCATAAGGAACCTGAAGACCCACATGAGATTTAGAGTAGGGCACCAATAGTTCCAGCTAGGACTGTCAAGCATCCTCCTCAGAGACAGCAGCAGAACCCGCAGAGGCAGCAACATTCTTAGCATCAGCCATTTCATCAGGCTTACCCTTATCAGCGTCCTGGAGTGCAGTCTCAGAGCCAGTCTTCGGTTAGGTTTCATATTGTAGCTACCCTGGTCAAAATCAGTAGGATTGCCCCAGGCGTCTTCATCTATGCTTCAGTTGTGGGTCCCCCGGTCATATCAATCGAGACTATCCTAAAAAATAGCAGACCCATTTGCCCCCACCTCCAGTTCGAGCAGCTCTTCCAGCTCTACCTCGACCTGCCCTAGTAACACCACCTCAGCACAGATCCTATCCTCAAGCAGGGCCTCTTCCTCCACAGCAGCAGGTTTATCAGGAAGCACAGAGGCAGCAACCGTAGCGACAGATGTTTATGATGTCAGCCATAGAGGCTGAGGCGAACGACCAGGTTATCACTGTAAGAATTGTTCATCATAGTTTTATTTGCATATGAACTTCCTTATTTAGCATCACATAATGATATCATGATAGGATTGTTTACGAATACTAAGTTAGTTGTATTTACATCCTCCTATAATAGGCAAGGTTCTTTTTTCTTTCGTTCCTGCTTTATCACTCTTTGATTCTGGAGCCTCCCATTGTTTCTTGTCTCGTTGATTTGCGAGTGCCCACTCTCTTTCTATAGCTTCTCTGACTATGGGTTGGAATATCAACACTGGTTGTGGCATCTTAGTAGCATCCAATGGTTATGAAACATGCCCTGTGGTTATCTGCGGGAGCGAACTCTTTGCAGACTTTCTGGTGATTGATTTGCCGAGTTTTGATGGAGTATTTGGGATGGATTGGTTGGGGTAGTTCTTTGCCACCATTGATTGTCGCCATCAGAGCGTAGTATTTGAGATACCAGATCACCCGAGATTTGAGTTCCTCAGTGGCAGTACATCGGCCGAACCTGTGGAGTACAGAGCTAGACCGAAGAAGGTGACGTTAGCTGCAATGCAAGTGGAATCTGAGAAGCTTGTTGTAGTTTGGGAATTTGAAGATGTGTTTCCTGACAATATTTATGGATTGCCGACGGATTGAGAAATTGAGTTTTCCATAAATTTGAAGCCTGGAGTTGCACCGATCTCAGAGACCCCTTATCGCATGCTCCCGGCTGAGTTGGCTGAGCTTCGAACTCAGTTGGATGATCTTCTACAGAGAGGCTTGATACGCCCTAGTGTATCGGCCTAGGGAGCACCTGTGTTGCTTGTGGTGAAAAAGGATGGATCCAAGCGGATATGTATCGACTTCTGGGAGTTGAATGCGGTGACAGTGAAGAATAAGTATCAACTTCCCCGTATCAATGATATCTTCGATCAATTGGGAGGATTGGTAGTATTTTATAAGCTGGATTTGCGGAGCGAGTATTACCAGGTGAAGGTTAAGGATTCTGATGTCCTGCGTTTCAGACGAGATATGGACATTATGAATTCTTAGTGATGTCGTTTGGTGTGACTAATGCACCAGCAACATTCATGAACCTGATGAATCTGGTATTCTATGATGTGCTAGACAAGTTTGTGGATGTCTTTATTAATGATATCTTAGTGTACTCTAAAAGTGAGGCGGAGCATGCAGAGCATTTGCGGTACATGTTAAAGACCATGAGAGAGCATCGACTATTTGCCAAGTATAGTATGTGCCAGTTCTGGCTAGATCGTATAATGTTTCTGGGACACGTGGTGTTAGGAGACGGCATATCAGTGGATCCGGAGAAGGTATCTGGATTGAAGGATTGACCTACCCCTAAGTCGGTGTCTAATATTAAGAGCTTCCTGGGATTAGCTGGTTACTACCTGTAGACGGTAAAAATTACCTTTGCAGACATACGACGAATTCGCCTATGAGTCGGAGTCGTCCACTGATCTTGAGGGTGGGGGGGGGTTCACCCATGGGCTGGACTCACTAGCGCGAACCCAAACCGTACGATCCCTAAATTTGCCCGCGGTTGTTAATCACAGACTGGTCTATATGATAGACTCGCCCGCATGAGTCAAGATCATCCAGACTCGCCTGTATGATCGACTCGCCCGCATGAGTCAAGATCATCCAGATTCGCCTGCTTACTCGACTCACCCGCACGGGTCGAGAGTCGAATTCGTACACGACAGCCGCTATGCCGCATACAGGGATGGGCCTTCCTACTTCCCACGACGTGAAGGGATGGAGCACAGTACTCCAAGCCCATCAAGTAGCCGCTCATAGTACAAGCCACTAGTCAAATCCATGCAGTCGCCAAATCCACCTACACGCTCACGATTGAAGCTCACCTCGCCTGCATGAGTCAAGAGCTGAATCCGCCTACAAACAGCAAGCTGGCTACACTCACTTGAGTACTTGATAGCTACAGGGATGGGCCTTCCCACCTCCCGCATGACGTGAAGGGAAGGAGCACAGTATTCCAAGCCCATCAAGTGGCCACTCACAGTACGAGTGACCGGTCAGTCACCAAGTCCGCCTAAAGAAAGCTCGCCTCGCCTGCACGAGTTAAGAGCTGAATTCGCCTACAAATGGCAAGTCGGCTAGACCCACTCGAGTATTGGGCAGCCGCAACCCCACTCCTCATGACGTGAAGGGAAGGAGTACAGTACTCTGAACCCATCAAGCAGCCGCTCACAGTACAAACCCAAGACATGGTCATATCCCATGATTCAAGGAGCGGCCACATCGCCTCAGCAGTTCGCTCATAGCTAATTGATTAATTCAATCAGTTAACGGAACCACTGCCTCTCGACTCTCAAGAGAGTTGACGACAAGCTCTTTGCATAATCTTTGCACTGCAGCATCTTCTCCTAGTTTCGGGCCCTGATCACCGTCAAACTCAGAGACTCGAACCCCATCGATTTATGCTTCTACTGCGTACTGAAGCTCGCCAGCAACCTCGGTCGAATCGTCTAAGGGAAGCAGACTCGGCGCGAGAACCGAGCGAAGCATCCTATAGCTACCGAAAGTCCCCACGTTAAACAAGGAGGGCATTCCCTCCGCTTATTTTGTAATTTTTGATTCATTAGTTTGTAATAAGCTATTCTTATCAATACAAACGAAATCCCTATTTCGGGAGATCAGAAATTCACACCTACAGAAGATGGCGATCACAGTGGGAGAATCTGTTTCTTCAACCGAAATGGTGGTAGCTCAGTTCGACGAGGTTGCTGTTGGGATGACTGTGGAGTCCCTAGAAATCAAGTTCGACCAAGCCAAGTACGAAGAGTACTTGTCTTCTTCCTCCTCTGGTGGCGATGTGTCCCACAAATGCCACAGAGTCGTGCGTAGAGGCTGACCTCAAACGATCAAAGCCTCCGCGCCTGAAGACTCTATCTGAGTCACGTCGGGGGAACCCACTCCCTCCAAATCGATCAAAGCCAAGCCAGAGGTCGAGAGCACGGGGCGAAAGCCTACCAGATGGATTGCTAAACGGCCCTCATAGACACCCACCTAGGGGGAAATAGTGGTTCATTCCGACGCAGGCTATGCTGCCACAACCCGCACGAACACTCCTCTCTCCAAAAGAGCTCGCTAGCGGCAACGACAGACCATCGCCCGACAGGAGGCTCGAGCCTTCGCCTCATACGACAGCCTGAACTATTACACAGGCTCAAAAAGTGTTAGACGAAGGGGCAACTCGCCTGACACTGGAAGGCTCTCCAAATCAAGAGCGCCAATCGGGAGGGACGAGACCGCCCGCTCGGTTGGACTTTACTTCTCAGGTCACATCCCTGATGCAAATAAACCACCCCAAACGAGTGAACCTACCCGAGTAGGTGAACCATCGGGGGCGGGTAAGCCTTGCCATGACCCCTTGACGGATAAGTGTGACAAGCGGGAAAACCTTGGCTGCAAAGGCAAAGCAGTAGGTGATACCTCGCAAACTCGCCTGCGTGAGCAAAGGGTTGAGTCTCGTCTGCACGCTGGAGTTCGTCCAAGCGCGAAGCCTCGCCTATCAAGGCGAACTCACCCAACTCCAACACCTAAACATTCTACCCAGTGTACACTAGGGAGTGCATCCAAAACTCTCTTGTGCAATCACCCGGGCGACTCGTCTGACGTTGGGGGTTGTCGCCAATCGTCCACAGAAGACCTCTGGGGTTACTTAACTTGCAAACGCACTATACATGAGGCGAATCCTCAGTGCCATTGTGAAAGTCTTATCCAAACAGTATAGGAACGGCGAAACCTTCGGAGTTCAAGAGACTCTCTCGACGGCCTTCTCGACCGAGACCTTCTCGTCGAAGGTGTCATCACCAAATAAGACGCGCCGCCGACGATCTAGAGCTCCCATCTACTACAATCAATATGACAGACAAGGGCAAGGCCGTGCTTTCTGGTTCTCAAGACTCGGACTCCTTCCTGGGACCTAATCCTCCACTTGCCCAACGGGAACGAGACGGTATATACGGCGCACCCGTAGTCGCAAGGGGGTGAGCATCGGGTTTGATTATTCAACCTTAGCGCCTCACTCCGACAGCGAAGACGAGAGTTACTCGGCAGCAGCTACGTCCCAAACATCGCACTCGAGTTAGGACGCATTGGCAAGGGTACACATGGCTGAACCCACACAAGAACAGGCGGTGGCCCAAAGGTTTGAAGAATAACAGGAGACCATAGACTCCTTAAGAGAAATGTTGGAGCAGCTTTTGAACAAGAAGAAGAATAACAAAAGAACCCAGCACACCTTGTCGCGACAGACGGGGAGTAAGGAATGGATACCTCCCCATCGTCCGACGACTAAAACGGAGGATAATATCAATCCACAATCCGATTACTCTTCCAAAACATCGCTAGGAAAGTCGCATACTGGGGGTAGCGCCCGTGACAAGAGGTTCGATGAGTTCCAAAACCAGCTCAACGTGTTGAAGCTTCAACAGAATATGAACAAGCTGGGAGTGGTCCGACCCTATCCTGTCGAGTGGGATACGGTCCCATACCAAGCGAAGTTCAAGCCGATTAGCTTGGTGCAATTTGATGGCAAGGGCTCGCCCTTACAACACATTTATTACTTCATGACGCAGACTAGATTCCTTACGGGGAATGACGCTATTCTCACTCAGTTATTCATAGGCACCCTCAAAGGGGTGGCGTTTGAATGGTTCCGCAAGTTAGAACCCGGCTCTATCAAGTCATGGGCTGACGCGAAAAGACTTTTCCTGGCCCGCTTCTTCGATGACGACACGGAGGTGTCGATGGCCACCCTCCTCGCCGAAAAGCAACAAAAGTCGGAGTCGGTCAACCACTTCGTGAAGAGGTTCAGGAACCGACCGATCCACTGTCGGGATCAAGTTTCCGAATCCACGCTGATCGAGATGTGCCGCAATAATCTCTCAATCCATATTCTGTCCAAGGTTAGCGCGGTGGAAACCCGGACCTAGAAAGAACTTGTTCGTCAGGGCGAGCAAGTGGAAAACATGATCAAAAGGTTAGAGGCCGAAGAGCCACAGCCCAAGAAGGGAGCTGCGGAGCCGGCCGTGCCAAAGAATCCCCCTCGAACAAGAGGAAAAGAGATCATGGTCGTCGATTCCGTCCCGACATCCAAAGCTATTCAAAGGCCAAAGCCCAGACAATTCGAGCAACGCCCCCTTGAGGCAATACAACTTCAAAGAAGACCAGGTGGTGGCAACATTCGGTACTCTACTCAAGAGCAATCGAATTAAATTGCCAGAGGTCACGAAGCCTGAGGAGGCAAACAAAACCAATGACCCGAGTTATTGTGCCTATCACAGATTCCTTGCCACCACACTTCCAAGTGTTACATCCTCAAGGATAAGCTCCAGGCCCTCTACGATGCAGGAGTCCTAAAGAAGGAGAAGGTTCAAAAGCAGGTGACCACGAATATGATCACCTTGAGCTTTGGGACAGATCTCCCGGAGGTCCAGGCTCTGGCAGGGGTAATTCCTATCCCCAAGGCAGTCCTAAAAATCACTAATGACGACCCTCACAACCAACGAAGGAAAGGTTTAGCCCTCCAGACTCTGCAATCGGGTCAAGTGATGTGGGTCCATCCGGACCTCCTCAGCGATGAACAATGGACTGCAAAGCCCTCGAAAGAGGTTAAGGGAAAACCTTGCAACGTCATCTTCACTATCCTGGGTGGAGATAAGACAGCAATGACCGCCTCCACCGACTCCGAGGAGGAAACCATTGTCCTCGCCACGAGAGTAGGGAAGGAATTCGCAAAAGAATACCCTACGAGGGCAGAGAACCTGGTAGGACCTCCCATGAGGCCAGCCACGGCAACCCCTCTAAATCTAGACAGGTCGAGCTCGAGCTGTCAGCCTTTCTGATTCAACGTGCTCGCGCAACTGAAGAGCATCCCCGTGAGAATTACCATGTATGACCTTCTGCAGTTATTCAGGCCTACCCGAGAGGCCCTACAAGAGACATTGGTCGACTCGGAAGTCTTCTCCACCCACTTCCTGAGGGAAGAAGACACGGGACAGGATTGTGCGATGTGCTGCCAGACCACCGAGAGGCGCGTCTCTTGCATCACGTTCACTCCTGAGGACATGCTCATCAAAAGCACCTCTCATGATCGACCACTGTACTTTACGGGGTACGTCAGTTCCTCGAAAGTGGATCGAATTCAAGTCGACCCAGGGTCTGCGCTAAGCATCATACACCTGAAGCTGATTAAACACCTGGGGATACCCCCGAAACGCCTATCCACAACTATCACGACTATCTTTGGCTTCAATGCTACTGGGACTCGACCGCTCAGCAAGATCCGTCTGAAGTGTCGAATAGGCGACATGAAGACAGAGGTGACCTGCTATGTCATTGATGCCGAGCCATCCTACAACGTGCTCTTAGGACGTCCGTGGATCCATAGCAACCGAATAGTCTCGTCCACGTTACACCAATGCTTGAAGTATGTGGATGATTATGAGCAAGTGAAAACGGTAGTGGCCGATAATCAACCCTTCAAGGGCGTCGAGAACTACTTCATGGACTCTCTGCTGTACCAAGACCCCGACGAGCCACCGGTCGAGGAACTGGAGAGCGGCAACGAGGCGGATAGCGAGCCCGAGTACGGCGACAACCTAGTCTTGAACGACTTCGAATCATTTGTAATCGGTTACGAAAGTCACAATGTAACCAACGCTGTTCAGGCGGAGGAGATTACCGTGAATGAGAAGTTCAACTTTGCTTATTTGTCGTCTTGCTCAACATCCGAGGATGATGCACCTAATAACCTAGTGTCGAAACTCTATAACGAGCGCTCCCTGCACTTTCCTGTATGCTTGTCGTATGTCACGAAGGCACAGCCAATCAAGTCATCGCAAGCTGTACTCGTCGTACCGGCCCGGAATAACTATCAAAAAGATATTATCTTTGGGTGAATCGATCACCCCTTGTGCATGCTGTGGGATGAATCTGAAGACGAGGACCCCACGCCTCAGTTTTCACAATACAGTCAAATCATAAAGCGCATGATGAGCAACATAGGGTACGGCCTCACTCGCCCAGAAGGCCTGGATTACGGCCGAGGACGCAGAACGGTCATCCGACCCGCTTACGTACCTAAAGGCAAACCCTCAAATTACTTCAATCGGACCCGGAGAGGTTTAGGCTACTCCTCTTCCTTATCGGATTTGTTATGTTATGTCAATGAGGACTCCGACTATGCGCGTTCGGGGGATCGATCTTTGACAACCTCAGCATGGGACTCAAATGTCAGTGTAAGAGACTTGTTCGACAGCCTTACAGTCAACATGGCCACGATTGATCCCGCTGAAATGGCAGGGGACGAACAAGTCCCACTTTAATAACATGGCTGAATACAACACGCTACTCATTGGACTTGAGTTAGCAAGAGAATTAGAGATAAGACATCTCGAAGCCTACGGTGACTCTCAGCTAATTGTCAAACAGATGACGGGGGAGTACGAAGTAAGGAACAACAATTTAATCCCGCTTCACAAAGCAGCTACCAAGCTGGTGGAGTCATTCGAGAGTTTTCGCATCGAGCATGTGCTCCGTTCTAAGAACACGCATGCGGACGCCCATGCATCCTTGGCGGCTAACTTGGCCCAGCCACTAGAGACGACTCAATGGGTCACTGTGGCAAGCCGAAGACTCTTTCGACTAAAAGACGTTCCAGAAGCAAACGCCACCCATCAAGTTTTGGATCAGCCCGACCTGAAAGACTGGCGTCTCCTGATCATCGATTACGCACTATACGGCATGCTGCCCGAGGATGCTAAGGAACGAGAGTCCGTCCGGTGACGTGCCTCGAGGTTCTACTCAAACGCCACCCATCAAGTTTTGGATCAGCCCGACCTGAAAGACTGGCGTCTCCTGATCATCGATTACGTCCTATACGGCATGCTGCCCGAGGATGCTAAGGAACGAGAGTCCGTCCGGTGACGTGCCTCGAGGTTCTACTACGATTCGACCACCAAGATGTTGTATCGAAGGTCGTACGACGGCTTGTTACTTCGATGTCTTTCAAAGGCAGAGGCACGAGAAGCTCTGTGTGAAGCCCATGGCGGTACTTGTGGAGCCCGCCAGCCCGGATCCAAACTTTGGGATCGTCTACGAAGGATGGGCTACTTTTGGCCTGGGTTTGTTAGCGACGCGGTTGCTTACATAAAGCACTGCCACGCGTGGCAAATCCACACCAATTACATGCATCAACCTCCTGAAGACCTACACCCAACAACGGTATCATGGCCTTTTGAAGCGTGGGGAATGGACATTATCGGGCCAATTTCCTCGCCGTCGGCAAGAGGCCATCGCTTCATCCTCGTGATTACCGACTACTTCTCCAAATAGGCCGAAGCCTTCCCTTTAAGAGAAGTCAAGACCAATGATGTGATTAAGTTCATCAAACATCATGTCATATACCAATACAGCGTACCTCGACGTATCATCCATGACAACGGTACAAAATTCGTTAGTCATGCGTTCACCCGGTTTTGTGATAAATTCCGAATACAAAACCTTTCCTCCACAGCCTATAACCCTTCGGCAAATGGCTTGGCCGAGGCCTTCAACAAAACAATACAAAACCTTTCCTCCACAGCCTATAACCCTTCGGCAAATGGCTTGGCCGAGGCCTTCAACAAAACAATCATTAAGATGTTAACCAAGCTAACTTCCAATAGCAAGCGCGATTGGAACGAAAAGCTGGGTGAGAGCTTGTGGGCGTATCGCACAATAGTTCGCACACCGACTGGCAACACGCCTTACTCATTGGTATACGGCTGTGAGGCCGTGTTACCATTAGAGATTCAAATTCCATCCCTCTACATCGCCCTGGCAGCGAGGATGACGACTGAGAATAATCATCAACGACGCCTCGCAGAACTGGATGCGTTGGACGAGAAATGATTGGAAACTCAACAACACATTGAGTTCTATCAAGCCCGAATGGCCAAGGCTTTCGACAAGAAAGTCAAGCGTCGATCCTTCAAGGAGGGAGAATTGGTACTAACCGCTCGATGACCAATGATTCTCACTTCCAAGAAGAAGGGCAAATTTCAGTCCAAATGGGAAGGACCGTTCATGGTAGAGACAGTCTACTCGAATGGAGCCTATCGCCTCGTCAAACCGAATGGCGACAAGATCATGATGCCCATCAATGGTAAATACTTGAAGAAGTACTACCCTTAGCTCTCCTTCAAACTCCCACGAGTGCATGAGTCTAAACTGGTCCTCACTCTCTCCAACTGGTACACAAGGCTAAACTGTTCCTACTTCCTATGCTCCAACGGGAAACCCTATATGAGACGCTGCTAACAGTATTCTTAAGCGTGACCTAGATTGCCATTTGGTCCAACCATCTTATAGTCGGGGCCAAGACAACCCTGTTATGTTAATTATCACCTTTGACAAAATTAACTTACAAATCCTCTCCAATAGGATGGTGAGCCCACTGAAGTCACTCACATCGTGGCAAACAATTCTGTTATGTTAACTATCACCTCTAAAAAAATCAACTTATCAATCCCTTCTAATGGGATGATAAGTCCTCATAGTTGCTCCAATCACAACAAAACTCCATCATGTTAATGATCACTTCTGATGACTGGCGCCGTTATTCCCACGAGTAACACAGCCTAAGTAGTAACCTACCATGCGATGTGCTACTACTTCGGTCAATA